AACACTGTACAGTGTTAATAAAACTTAACACTGACTAACACTGTACAGTGTTAATAAAACTTAACACTGACTAACACTGTACAGTGTTAATAAAACTTAACACTGACAACACTGTACAGTGTTAATAAAACTTAACACTGACTAACACTGTACAGTGTTAATAAAACTTAACACTGGTTAAGGTTTGTTGCATTTAATATATTTATGAGTTATTTTGTGTGTTAATGTGGGTTTTTTTGCATAAAATGAAGGTAGTAAGTTAAGGTAAATAATGTTAGCTAATCAGTCACATGTGCTTCAGCTCTTACAGAGGTTAAGATGGATAAATGGATATTCAGATAAAGCTAATTAAAACCCATCAGTAAAGCTTCATCTTTGTTCGAGGAGGCATGCTACACCGGGGGTTTGGACTTAAGAGATGAATGAACCTATTAGCAGGCCGAACTGTCGTCACTTGCGGGCCACGTCCGGCCCGCGGGCCGCCAGTTGAATAGCCCTGGTGTAACCGTTCCCACCTCAGGATGCTGATATAAAATATAAACCATACTTCAGTTGTTCCTCACATTGTTTCTGTCAGAATTATCAGGATGTTAACAACAGTTTTTGACTGAAGTAAGGAGTTGCAGCAGCTGCTTCATGTCTTCGGCTCGGTGTTTATCAGCGTTCCTGCAGAGATGTTGATGGGAATAAACAGCCTTTCAACCAATGAAAATGATCCAAACTTCCTGCTGAGGAACAGGAGCAGACAAGTGTATCTAAAATCTGAGCTGGCAGAATTATCCCTCATTAAAGAAAACAAAAGATGAATAAAAGGCGTTCTGTGTTTCAGGTTGTTAAAGCTAATTTCAAGCTTTCATCACTGCACCAAGGACGTTTCATCTCTACTCTTATCTGTGGATTTAACCAACAAAATGAGGCTTTTATTTCACCTCTTCTTCCTCTGAAGTGGCTCTAAAAACAAACAGACGGTCCTTCAAAATAAAACTTCAAAGCTTTAACTGTTGTGCTTTGCAATGTTGGATTAATTTATTTAATGTTGACTTTCTGGATGCTGATTCTGATACTAAAAGTCAAACAAACGGAGATAAAAAGTCCTGCTGATGGTTTGATAAAAGGTTTTATCTGGTCTGTTTTTTACCTTCAGTTTTAATTCAATAGTTCTTAAATCTACAAACAGAAAGAGAGAGAGAATGTATATATACACACACACACTCACATGTATGTATGTATG